CTTGGCCTGCGGGGATCGGGCCGAATCTGTGCACCGTGCCTTCAACTTCCCCTGATAGGTCCCAGATTGCGAGAGGGCGCAGGCCAGGCCAAGGGACCCCACCAGTGCGCGAATCCGTGCACCAGGCTTCTAGTATTACAAAAAGAGCAAGAAGGAATAGATTGTACAGTACATTTACTGATGACAAGTTCATATTAAATTTCTTTTTAATTTTTTTTTTTTATTATTGATTCTGGAGAAGAAGGGAGACGGATTGAGTGACAGAAATATCGATGGTTTGCCTTCTGCATGCCCCCTCCTGATCAAGCCCTGAACCTGGGAATGTACCCTGACCAGGAATCGAATTGGGTTCATGGGTCAATGCTCAATGACCAAGCCACACTGGCCAGGGAAATTTCTTTTGTTCTCCAAGTTTCCCGGATATTTATAAATTTCACAAATATGGCAATAATAAAGGAAATATTAACATAATTAAATTTGTTCATATAACACAGCAGTATATTTAACTTTTATAGCTATAGTGATGTGTATGTGGATGAGTTTAAAACTGCAACCAACGGCCCTGACTGGCTTGGCTCAGTGGATAGAGCGTCAGCCTGCGAGCTGAGGGGTCCCAGGTTCAATTCCGGTCAAGGGCATGTACCTTGGTTGCGGGTGCATCCCCAGTGGGAGGCAGCTGATCAATGTTTCTTTCTCATCAATGTTTCTAACTCTCATCCCTCTCCATAAAAAAAAAACAATAAAATAAATAAATAAAATAAAACTGCAACCAACGTCTCATGATTTTTAAAACTTGACATAATAATATTTTCTACCAGGAATAGTCTATATTTTATTTTTAGTGCTCGAGTTGATATACGAAAAATTCATCAATTTCCATATTTTGAAACTTAAGTAGGCATTTGCTTTTGTATTTTTGTCTTGTTGTTGTTATTGTCATTGTTTACCCCTTTTGTCCTCAATTATAAGTAACTCGGCAGTACTTGGTGACTATAGAGTAATTGACATCGAGATCCACTGTGTATCTAGCACAGGTGGGTGAATAGAGAGCAACTCCCAAGAGTATCTTTTTGGCCAAGAACCATGAGCCCCAACAATCTCTAGAATCACAGAAAGTTCCATCCTAATACCTTTTCCAGAATGCAGCAAAGGTAAATTAACTAATGTGAGAAGAGTTTCTTATGATCCCTTTGAGTACATCAAATTTGATTCCTAACTATGAATTATCACTTCTTTTATTTTTTTATCCTCATCTGAGGATATGGTTATTGATTTGAGATAGAGGGGAAGAGAGAAGGAGAGTGAGAGGGAGGAAGGGAGAGAGGGGGGAAGAGAGAAAAAGAGGGAGGGATAAAGAGAAGGGAAGAGAGTGAGAAACATTTATGTGTGAGAGAAACATCAATTGGTTGCCTCCCAATTGGCTGCCTTCCCTTATGTGCCCCAAATGGGGATTGAACCCACAACCTAACTTAGTGGGAATCAGTGCCCTGAATGGAAACTGAATACATGACTTTTTAGTACTATAGGGACAATGCTCCAACCAACTGAACCACCTGGCCAGGGCTATAAAAACTTTACATTCCTAGAATAAGAGGAGAAGGAGAATGGCATAGAAAAAGGGATGAGAAACATTTATGTGAGAGAGAAACATCAATTGGTTGCCTCCCAATTGGCTGCCTTCCCTTATGTGCCCCAAATGGGGATTGAACCCACAACCTAACTTAGTGGGAATCAGTGCCCTGAATGGAAACTGAATACATGACTTTTTAGTATTATAGGGACAATGCTCCAACCAACTGAACCACCTGGCCAGGGCTATGGCTGCTTTTAAAACAAAACATTTATGGCATGGGAAACAACTGAATATTTGTAAGATATGTATACATGCCTCATTTTGTTAAAAATTTTATTATAAATATGAAAAATATTTTTTGAAATAATGATCCAATGCTGACTCTTCTGATACAGAACTAAACAGCTTACACCTAAGTAGTAAAACAAAAACAGTGAAAAGGGGGTTTATCTATCTACACTTTCTTCCTTCAGAGCTCTGAATCCTTTATTCTGGTTTGTGTTTCTCTATTTTTTTTTTTAAATCCTCACCCAAAGACTTTTTCCCATTGAATTTTAGAGGGTAGAAGGGAGGGAAGAGGGAAGTGAGAAAGAGAAATAAATATCAATGTGAGAGAGACACATCCATTGGTTTTCTCTTGCACTCGCCTCAACCGGGACCAGGGATCAAACCTGCAACCCAGGAATGTGCCCTTGACCAGAATCGAACTTTAGACCATTCAGTGCAAATACCGATGCTCTAACCACACTTAGTAACGCCAGCCAGAGCTGTTTCTTTCTTTTTTGAGAGGAGTTTCAGAATTAGAAAACAGATGGGAAAAAGTGAGTACATTATTTTAAGGTGAATTCTCAAAAGCAAGGCAAAAGCTGGAGTCTTCCCAATTCTCTCTTGCTATTTAAAATTCTATATATACTACATATTTGGAAGGGAAGAACTTTTGATTATTAAATGGACAGGAACACAAAAATGTTTGTGAAGTGATATCAGTTTGAACTTATGAAACAGTAAATTATTTCTATACTAGAGGCCCCGTGCATGAAAATTCGTGCATGGGGGGGGGGGGTGTCCCTCAGCCTGGCCTGTGCCCTCTCACAGTCCAGGACCCGTCGAGGGATGTCCACCTGCCAGTTAAGGCCCACTCCCTGGGGGATCAGCCAAAGCTGGCAGTTGGACATCCTTAGCACTGCCGAGGAGGTGGGAGAGGCTCCCACCACCGCCACTGTGCTTGCAGCCTTCAGCCCGGCTTGTGGCTGAGCAGAGCTCCCCCTGTGGGAGTGCAGTGACCACTGGGGGTAGCTCCTACATTGAGCATCTGCCCCCTGGTGGTCAGTGCACATCATAGCAACCAGTCATTCCTGGTCATTCTGCCGTTAAGGTAAATTTGCATATTACCCTTTTATTATATAGGACTAGAGGCCTGGTGCATGAAATTCGTGCACTGGCGGGAGGGGTGCCCCTCAGCCCAACTTGCACCCTCTCCAGTCTGGGACCCCTCGGGGAATGTCCAACTGCCGGTTTAGTCCCGATCCCTGTGGAATCGGACGTAAACTGGCAATCGGACATCCCTTTCAAAATCTGGGACTGCTGGTTCCCAACCACTCGCCTGCCTGCCAGCCTGCTCACCCCTAATCACTCCCCTGCCGGCCTGATCAACACCTAACTGCTCCCCTGCCAGCCCAATTGCCCCCAACTGCCCTCCCCTGCAGGCCCGGTCGCCCCCAACTGCCCTCCCCTGCCAGCCCGGTCACCCCTAACTGCCCTCCCCTGCAGGCCTGGTCCCCCTCCACCCCTCGCCACAAACTGGCCATCTTGTGACTACATGGGGGCAGCCACCTTGTGTGAGGGCATGACAGTCAATTTGCATATTACCTCTTTATTATACAGAATTCTCTCTCCTACAATGGGATAACTTTGTTATATAGAATAGTATAAGGTATTCACAGCTGTTTATCTATATTATGGTTAAGTCAGATACTAAAGATACTAAAGAAAACAATATTCTAGGAGCTTTATTTTTGAAAAATGTGACTTTATATCACTCAGTTTGTCCTGTTTTAAGAAGGAAAGAAGAATGAAGATAATGCCTTACAGAAAAAGCAGGTTATGAAAAACAGTAAAGCTATTCCAGTGTGCTAATTTATGCAGACTGAAATCCAAATTCAGGATCCTGGAGTAAGTTCTCCATTTCTCACCTGCAAGCATTTTAAAGGCTAAATAGCTGTTTCTGGAGCAAAAGTGCTTCCCAATATCCACCAGGCCAAAAAGGGACTATAGGACTAAGGTTGAAAATTTTTATAAAAGCAAATTTAATGCTTGGGTCATAGCTATAATAAAACGATAAACTCCAGAGCCCTACTGCAATGAAAAAAATTACAGAATGGTAGAGTGAATGGCCCCCACATATTATTCTGTAGCATTCTAGCATCCTTACAGATTAGTACAAAGCTAAGTAAATTTCATCCACAAAACTAGAAACGATTTCCCCAGGCATGTGGGCCTTGTCCAGTAAAAGAACCTTGCCTGGAATTTATTCCAAGACGGGCTCTCAATTGCTCTGTGGCAATTCCTGAAAGGAGGGCAGTCCAAATACAGTAGGACAAATCCCCCCAAGAAAGCTGAATCCTTGCCCTAACCGGTTTGGCTCAATGGATAGAGCGTCAGCCAGCATCTATCCCTAAAGGGTCCCAGGTTCGATTCTGGTCAAGGGCATGTATCTGGGTTGCGGGCACATCCCTAGTGGGAGATGTGCAGGAGGCAGCTGATCGATGTTTCTCTCTCATCGATGTTTCTAACTCTATCTCTCTCCGTCTCTCTCCCTTCCTCTCTGTAAAAAATCAATAAAATATATTTTAAAAAAAATCAATAAAATATATTTAAAGAAAAAAAGCTGAATCCTTGATCATAGCAACAGGTGACCCTTGCTGTGAAGCTAGAGGAGAGGTACACAAATACATTTGTATGACTTTACTAAGTTTAAAAAATGCAAATGTTAACACGTATGCATTATAACGTTAGCAAAGGTTTAAAGCAAGGGTGAAGGATCTTTTTTCTGCCAAGGGCCAGTTGGATATAACATAATTCAAGGGCCATACAAAATTATCAACTTAAAAATTAGCCTGCTATATTTAGTCAAACATTTAATTAACTCACCTCTAATGCCTTGACAGGGCCAGACCAAATAATTTTGCAACCTTATACGGCCCGTAGGGCAGACATTCCCCAGTCCTGGTTTAAAGCCTTAATCTTAACTATAATATACACTGGTATTATAAAACTATCTTCAATTTTGAACAATTAAACTAAAGACTGCTAACTAAGTGGGAAACCATAAATAGTCCTGTATGGCTATCGCATTAACTACTACCACAGCATACTGAGATTATAAAACAACAAATCTTCAGAGAAATTTATGATAGATGACTCTTACCTCATAAATGTTGGGGTGCCACATTTTGGTCAAGAATCTGAAGGTAGGTGGTGAATATGGGTAGTCAATAGGAAATTTAATATGCGCCTGGAAGAAAACACACAAAATGCTAATAAATGAGATTACAGGTTATTCATCTGCCTAATAATTCACCTTATTACACCTCAATAAAACAAAACTCCTATGTATAGAGTAGACTCTGGGAATTAAAACAGCTCATATATTGTTTTGTTAGTCCCAATGCCAGGGTTATTATTAGTATGTTCTTATAGCATCTCTTCAAATATTTATTAAGAGTTTATGGCAGCCCTGACCAGTTTGGCTCAGTGGATAGAGCGTCAGCCTGCAGACTCAGGGGTCCCAGGTTCGATTCCGGTCGGGGGCATGTACCTTGGTTGTGGGCACATACCCAGTGGGGAGTGTGCAGGAGGCAGCTGATCGATGTTTCTCTCTCATCGATGTTTCTGACTCTCTATCCCTCTCCCTTCCTCTCTGTAAAGAATCAATAAAACATTTTTTTTAAAAAAAAGAGTTTATGGCAAATCATCAAAACTAAACAGCTCCATAATTTTTATTAAAGAGAGAAAAGGAGAGAGATAAAGAGATAGAGAAAGGATTATCAATCGGCTGCCTCCTGCATACCCCCTACCGGGGATTGAGCCTGCAACCCAGGTGTGTGCCCTGACCAGGAATCAGACCAGTGACCTCTTGGTTCATGGGGTCAATGCTCAACTACTGAGCCACACCAGCCAGACAATAGCTATGTAATTTTTAATTGAACTCATACTGAGTGAAAACAGTATTATGGACAGGTGTGTCACATTAGTGGAATTAATTAATATAACCTTATAGTACATATATAGAACAAAGTGGGGTTTTTTACTCACATAATTTAACCACCACCCAGATAATAAATACTACCATTTTGAAATAGCTCCTTCCAATAGTTTTTGGATGCATACGTATGCTTATTTCTTTACAAAACTTATTTTCAAAGATTTAAATATACCGTATTTGGGGATATTTTTTGTTAAAACTCACTGGAGGATTTATTTTCCCCCACTGTTTTTAGAGAGAGTAAAAGGAAGGGGGAGAGACAGAGAGAGAGAAACATTGCTGTGAAAGAGACAGAGACATATCGATTGGTTTCCTCCCACACAAGCTCCCCTACTAGGGCCAGGGTTGGAGTCTGCAACCAAGATAACTGCCCTTGACCAGAATCAAACCAGTGAGCCTTGAGTTCAAGGGCCAAAGCTTTAACCACTGAGCCAAAGCTGCTAGGGCAATATACTGTGTTTTATACTGTTTTTTCCCCATCTATATCATAAGCATTTTCCTGTCATATAATAATCTCCAAATATATGATTGTTAGTATCTGCATAATGTCCCATCATATGGATATAGAGATGAATCATTTTTTTAATATATTTTTTATTGATCTTTTTACAGAGAGGAAGGGAGAGAGATAGAGAGTTAGAAACATCGATGAGAGAGAAACATACATCAGCTGCCTCCTGCACATCCCCCACTGGGGATGTGCCCGCAACCCAGGTACATGCCCTTGACCGTAATCGAACCTGGGACCTCTCAGTCGGCAGGCCGACGCTCTATCCACTGAGCCAAACCGGTTTTGGCGAGATGAATCATTTTTTTTAAAAATGATTTTATTTTGGAACACTTGGGTTTTTCCACTCTTTTGGTATTGTAAATACTGCTGCACTGAATGTCCTTGGTAGTATCTCATATTTCAAATATTAAAAAATCCAGAAAAGGCCTCATCTAACAATACCAGTAAAGGGAGTGAAGAAAAGAATGAAAGGACAAGCTAAGAATAAATAAGCTAAAGACAGCCCTGGCCATTGTGGCTCAGTTGGTTGGGTGTCATCCCGTGCACCAAAAGGTTTCTGATTTGAGTCCCAGTCAGGACACATGCCCACAACTGGGCTTGATCCCTGGGAGGGGGCATGCAGGAGACTGCCTATTGATGTTCTGTTCTCATATTTTTGTTTCTCTCTCTCCATCTCTAAAAATCAATAAAGAATACATATTTTTTAAAATATGCTAATGATGCCCAGCTGGTGTTCAGTGATTGAGCATCAACCTATAAACCAGGAAGTCTGGGTTCAAATCCCAGGCAGGGCACATGCCTGGGTTGTGGGGTCGATCCCCAGTGTGGGGCATGTGGGAGACTAATTTTTTTTAGCCCTGGCTGGTTTTGCTCAGTGGATAGAACATCAGGCTGAAGAGATAGAATATCAGACTGAAGGGATCCCAGGTTTGATTTCCAGTCATGCCCAGGTTATGGGCTCAATCCCCAGTGGGGGGGCGTGCAGGAGGCAGCCAATCAATGATTCCCTCATCGTTGATGTTTCTATCTCTCTTTACCTCTCCCTTCCTCCCTGGAATAAATAAAAATATATTTTTAAAAAATTGTTTTAAATCTGCTAAGGACATTAGTGAAAATGGCAGAGTAAGGACCCTGAAAAATTCTTTCTTCAATAAAAGCAATTAGAAAATGGTAAAAAGTTGTAAGAATCAACTCTGTGGTGTTTTTTGTTGTTGTTGTTGTTTTAAATATTTTATTGATTTTTTACAAAGGGGAAGGGAGAGGGAGAGAGAGAAACATCGATCAGTTGCCTCCTGCACACCCCCGACTGGGGATGTGCCCGCAAGCAAGGTACATGCCCTTGACCAGAATCGAACCTGGGCCCCTTCAGTCCGCAGGCCGATGCTCTATCCACTGAGCCAAACCGGTTAGGGCAACTCTGTGGTGTTTTAACTTGCCCTAGTCCCTGCCTTGCTCTCCACAGTCACAATAGCCTTAATACTAACAGCTCACCCTTGAAGTGAAGACCAGCAGCCACAGAATGAACTAGAACTTCTTCAAAGCCTTACTCCCAAAGAACTGTCATTATTTGAACTTTCTGGCAGTTCTCTAGAAGAACCCACTTGCCTGGTTGGTCAAACAACAGACAAAACAAAAACTTTAATAGGAAAAGCTGGAATATTAGAAGTCCATAAAAGCTTTGAAAAGCTCTGACAAATTCCTAAGAATCTAGAAGACCTGGACAATGTGGGGTTGTGCATATATGCCCAGGCTATATGCACATACTCAGGAAAGTCATGAGAAGTAATTAGAAGACCCTAAACTAGCACCTATGCTTGTACGTGAGGATCTGTACAGGAAGGAAGTGAAGGCTAAGGCAGAGTTCGCAAATGCCTAGCTACCTATTAAAAGCATGACCTGGGAAGCACACAGAGCTCCTCTACAATGCTTAGGGGAGGGGCAAAGAGAGATCTATGAAAATTCCAGTTGCCTTCTTTCCAGAAATGGAAAGACTGGTACTAAAATTTATATAATAATTCATGGGACCCAGAATAGCCAAAACAATCTAAAAATAACTAGATAATTCACACTTTTCTATTTCAAAACATACTATAAATCTACAGTGATGAGGACAGTTTGGTACTAGTATAAGGACAATTCAATGGGATTTGAAAAAGCCTGTCAACAAATTGTGATGAGACAACTGGATATTCATATACAAAAGAAATGGAGTTATATCTTTTGAAACAGCCAGGAAAATGTCCTTAACAAGGCCTGACCTTAGGGAAAACTGGTTAACTAGAGCCTAACCTGCTGGGGTAATCAGAACCTCAATGACCTGGGGGAAGGGAAATACAGTACCCAATTCCAGCCTGTCCCCCTAAGTGGGGAGAAAAATACTGAAACTCTTTTGAAAGCTCACAATCCAGAAGCACGTGCTCACTAAAAGACTGCGACCTAATCATAAGAGTATAGGTTGCTTCCCAGACCCCCACACCTCACCACCATATTACTAAGGCCTATCTTACAGCAGTTCTTTTTACCTGGTACATAATGACCAGTGATCAGGAAAAAATTACAAAGCATACAAAAAGGAAAATCACAAATGAAAAGACAGAGAAATTATCAGAACCAGACCTGGCAGGGATGTTGGAATTATCAGACCATAAAACAACTATGACTAATATGTTGCAGATTCTTTCCTGTTAAATTTCTTTTAATATGAGTTGACATAGAACATTATATTAGATTTAGATGTACAACATGATGATTCAACAAGGGCATGTACAAAGTGGTCACCACAATAAGTCTAGTAATCACTTGTCATTGTACATAGTTATATGAATTACTGACTCTATGCCTATGCTATACATTATGTCCCCATGACTTATTTTATAACTGGAATCTTATAATTCTTAATACCCCTTCTCTTTTCCTCCCAATACCCCTCCTGACCATCAGTTTGTTCTCTGCATCTATGAGTTTGTTTCTATTTCATTATTGTTTTTTAGATTCCACATATAAGTGAAATCATACAGTATTTATCATTTTCTCTCTAATTTATTTCACTTAACATAATACTCTCTATCAAGGTTGTCACAAATAGCAAGATTTCATTCTTTTTTTATGGCTGAGTAATGTACACACACACACACACACACACATTCTTTATCCATTCCTCTATTGATGGACAACTTGGCTGCTTCCAATCTTGGCTACTGTAAACAATGAACACAGGGGTGCATATATTATTTAGAGTTATTGTTTTCATTTTCTTTGAATAAATACTCAGAAGTGGAACTGCTGTGTCCTAGGGTAGTTCTATTTTTAATGTTTTGAGGAGCCTATAAATTCTAATGGATAAAGTAGACAATCTGCAAAAACAGATGGGGCAACGTAAGCAAAGAGATGGGAATCATAAGAAAAAAACAATAAAGAGAAATGTTAGAGATTTTAAAAAATACTATAATAGAAATGAAAAATGCCTTTTTGGGCAGCTTATTTTTAAAAAATATATATTTTATTGATTTTTTACAGAGAGGAAGGGAGAGAGATAGAAACATCAATGAGAGAGAAACAGCGATCAGCCGCCTCCCGCACATCCCCCACTAGGGATGCACCCGCAACCCAGGCACATGCCCCTGACCGGAATCAAACCCGGGACCCTTCAGTCCGCAGGCCGGCGCTCTATCCACTGAGCCAAACCGGTTTCGGCATGGGCAGCTTATTAAGACTAGACATAGCTAAGGAAAGAATCTCT